ATGCCCTAAATATGGTACAAACAATACCAATTTTTTTGTAAAATGTACCAATTTTTTTAACACTATGGATACATTCTTTTGCCATTTATTATTTCTTATTTTTACATAGTTTTTATCCATTTATTAAATCAAAATGTTTGAATTTTTTTATTATAACCGTTTCTAATAGTATTATAATGAGAGATTTTAAATTTATAGGATTATAAATCTCAATGTACTACGTTAGTAGCACTTCATAGTCATTTTATAATTTATTAAGAGAATTGTTATTAGCGCTTAATAAATCTTATATACTCTTCACAAGTATATTTTTCTTTTTAATTATAGAAAGCTTGGAATGCAAAACGAGATGTTTGGAGTGCCAATAACAATTATCTTTATCAAATGTATTTGCTAATAATTCTTACATTTTGTGGCACTCTAAGTTAGATTTATTACAAGAGATCTTATAATTAAATCTAGTAAACAACAGTGGTTGAATAGAACTAATTTGGACAAATGATTGTTGTTTCAAAGCTCATCTCAATCCAACAAATGTAAAGATTCGATTCAATTCAATTTTGGCTTGTAAGTAGGAGAAATTCTTGCACTAATTTACACCTTTTTGCCTATTTTTATATCTAATTCTCCTTCTTCTCCTTCTTCCCAAAAAAAAAAAAAAAAAAAAAAAAAAAAAAAAATATTTTCGCCACCACATTTGAAAATGGGTCATTAGTTAATTAATTCAAAAATCAATCGATCAAATGTAAATACCGAATTAAAATTCATGGGTGTAAATAATGAATTTTTCTGACTCTTCCTTAATTATCAAGTGTACATTAAAAAGGTAAGATCTGAATACATTTAACAATCATTACGCCTGTTATAAAAATTCGTTTTTGCATTTTTTTTTAAAAAATGAAGAATCTTTTTGCGAAGGTGTAGGATGCTCTTAGTGGTTTATGAAAGTCAGGGTTTACAAGTGAGCAAGCAACCCGAAATTTACAAAATGGGCCTGAAGAATAAAAAAAAAAATAGAAGCCAAAAGCATCAAAAAATAAACAAAAAATAAATGATATTGAAGGAACAATCAGAAGAATTATAATCGGATAAAAACCTCAATAAACTGAAAAATTTTCCTACCACGCTTGGATAAGTGAAATCGAAACTCCATTCCGAGTCTATCTAGGTGATGAGAATCATTTAACTTTTCAAAATCGCATTCCAAAATCGACTAAAAACCATGAGTGTTAACCCACGTTTTTTTGTCAAATTTGAAAATATTTATTTTTGCGAAATATTTTCCACGAGCATTAAGGAAAACCTTATAAGGTATTTGGAAGCAGTTTTTTTTATTTATTGAGCAACAATTGTATACTTAGTAGAATATTTTAAGCCGAAAACTGAAAAAATAAGTGAAAAATACAATAGTGATGACCAAAACATTGCCAAATGGGGTTCCATTGTCACATCCCGGCCCGAGGCCCACCACATCCCGGGCCCGCTCCACCACGTAGCACGATATTGTCCGCTTTGGGCCGACCACGCCCTCATGGTTTGTTTTTAGGAACTCACATGAAAACTTCCCAGTGGGTCACCCATCATGGGAGTTCTCTCTTGCGCTACTCGCTTAACATCCAAGTTCCGATGAACTCTGAAGCCAGTGAGCTCCCAAAAGGCCTCGTGCTAGGTAGAGATGAGAATATACATATAAGGATCACTCCCCTGGGTGATGTGGGATCTTACATCCACCCCCAAGAATCTCAACGAAAAGTCTCACCTTAATTTTCAAAACTTCACATTCAGGCGAAGGTGAAAATAAATAGATTGAACGGTGGTTTATATACAAATTTGCAAAACCGACTAAAAGTCGTGATCCATGTTTTTTTGGCCAAAAATGAAATTTTTTATTTTTGCGAAATATTTTCCGCGAGCATTAAGGAAAACTTATAAGGTGTTTGGAAGCGGTTTTATGATTTATTGAGCAACAAATGTATACTTAGTGGAATATTTAAGTGAAAAATACAATAGCAAGGACCAAACATTGTCAAATGGGGTTCTACCGTCAAGAATCTCAATGGAAAGTCTCAACTTAATTTTCAAAACTTCACATTGAGGCGAAGGTGAAAATAAATAGATTGACCGGTGACTTATATACGAATTTGCAAAACCGACTAAAAGCCTAACACCCACGTTTCTTTGGTCAAAAAAGAAAATTTTTTTTTTTTGCAAAATATTTTTTCCGCAAGCATTAAAGAAAATTTATAAGTGAAAATTAATTCCGAAAAATTGAAAAAAGTAAGTGAAAATTACAATAGTGAGGACCAAATATTGTCAAATGGAGTTCCACCTCAAGAATCTCAACATATTACCTTAATTTTCAAAATTTCACGGTGAGGCGAAAGTCAAAACAAATACATTGAATGATGGTCTATGTTCAAATTTGTAAAACTAACTAAAAATCGTGAGTTGTTACCCACGTTTTTTTGGTCAAAAATGAACTTTTTTTTTAAAATATTTTCCACAAGCATTAAGGAAAACTTTATAAGGTGTTTGGAAGTGGTTTTATGATTTATTAAGCAACAAATGTATACTTAGTGGAATATTTAAGCCGAAAACTGAAGAAAAAAAATAAGTGAAAAATACAATAGTGAGGACCAAAACATAGTCAAATGGGGTTCCACCCCCAAGAATCTCAATGGAAAGTCTTACCATAATTTTTCAAAATTTCACGATGAGGCGAATGTGAGAACAAATAGTTTGAACTATGATTTATGTACGAATTTGTAAAAACCACGTCTTTTTTGGTAAAAAATTAAAATTTTTATTTTTGTAAATATTTTCCGCAAGCATTGAGGAAAACTTTTTAAGGTGTTTGGAAGCAGTTTTATGATTTGTTGAGCAATAAATGTATACTTAGTAGAATATTTAAGTCGAAAACTGAAAAAATATGTGAAAAATACAATAGCGAGGACCAAAACATTGCCAAGTGAAGGGACCCCCCCCCCCCAATCTATGTGGAAAGTTTCCCCTTAATTTTCAAAATGTCACATTGAGGCAAAAAAAATAAATAGATTGAACGGGAAATTTAAAAACAAATGACCCGTTTTTTGGTCAAAAAACTGAACAAAAATTTATGTTTACATATTTCCGCAAAAATTATGGACCTCGGTGGTTGGAAGCGGTTTTATAGTTTTATTGAGCAACCATGTAAAATAGTGGAAAATAGAATAAGTGAAAAACAATAAGGTGTGATGTTCAAGTTGTGCCCCTCAATTAAATTGAAGTCTCAACCATTAAAATAAAAATTCACATTACAAAAAACTTCAATTGAAAAAAATATCCCAAAAAACAAGTTTAATGTACGAATTTGCATGAACTCTTGAAAAAAACGTTTAAGCTATAAGTAAGAAAATGGCAACACAATCCAATACGTTTTTTAAAATAAATTCCAATACATGACCAAATTAAATTGGGCAAAAATTGAATCTCCACACATTGCGTCTCAACTTAAAGATCTTCATGAAAAACGTTCACAAAATTAGGAAGGTCAAAACTCAAAAAAGGTAAATAAATATCGACAAGAAACCAATGATTTATGTACCACATTAATTGCAAATTAGACGAAAGCTAAATGGCACGTAAGTGGTAAACCCACGTTTTTTTTTCAAAAATAAAATTTTATTTTTGCGAAATATTTTCCGCGAGCATTAAGGAAAACTTTATAAGGTGTTTGGAAGCGGCGTTATCATTTATTGAGCAACAAATGTATACTTGGTAGAATATTTAAACTGGAAACTGAAAAAAAATAAGTGAAAAATACAATAATGAGGACCAAAACATTGTCAAAATGGAGTTTCACCCTCAAAGATCTCAACGGAAAGTCTTACCTTAATTTTTCAAAATTTCATCGTGAGACAAAGGTGAAAACAAATACATTGAACGATGGTTTATGTACAAATTTATAAAACCGGCTAAAAATCGTGAGTGTTAACCCACGTCTTTTTGGTCAAAATGAAATTTTTTATTTTTGCGTAATATACTTAGTAGAATTTATAAGCCGAAAATTGAAAAAATAAGTGAAAAATACAATAGTGAGGACCAAAACATTGTCAAATGGGGTTCCACCCTCAACAATCTCAATGGAAAGTCTCGCCTTAATTTTCAAAACTTCACATTGAGGTGAAGCTGAAAATAAATAGATTGAACGATGATTTATTTACGAAATTGCAAAACCGACTAAATACCGTGGATGTTAACCCACGTTTTTTTGTGAAAAATGAAATTTTTTATATTTGCGAAATATTTTCTGCGAGCATTAAGGAAAACTTTATAAGGTGTTTGGAAGCGGTTTTATGATTTATTGAGCAACAAATGTATACTTAGTAGAATATTTAAGCCGAAAACTGAAAAAAAATACGTAAAAAATACAATAGTGAGGACCAAAACATTGTCAAATGAGGTTCCACCCTCAAGAGTCTCAATGGAAAGTCTTATCTTAATTTTCAAAATTTCACGGTGAGGCGAAGGTGAAAACATATAAATTGAACGATGATTTATTTACGAATTTGTAAAACCGACTAAAAATTGTTGAGTGTTAACCCCATGTTTTTTTGGTCAAAAATGCAAATTTTTATTTTTTGAGAAATATTTCCACGAGCTTTAAGGAAAACTTTGTAAGGTGTTTGGAAGTGGTTTGATGATTTATTGAACAACAAATGTATATTTAATAGAATATTTAAACCGAAATTTGAAAAATAAGTGAAAATATTGTCAAATGGGTTCTACCCTCAAGAATCTCAACAGAAAGTCTTACCTTAATTTAAAAATTACATGGTAAGGCGAAGGTGAAAACAGTAACTTGAACGATGATTATGTACGAATTATAAAACGTAAAAATCGCAAAGTATCCGGTTAATTAGTCTTCCTCTATACGTTGTGCACATAATCCATTTAATTTATCATTAATTTTTCGTACATTTGTGTTTAGGAAGGAAAGCGGTGTAATGGGTTTGTGTTGTAATTTTTTTTTTTTTGTGTAGGATATTTAGTAGGCGAGACATGGATAAAGAGACCCCCAATATAAAGAAATGGATTGTGCTTTATCCGGTTTATATTAACTCGAAGAAAACTATGGCGGAAGGGAGACGAATCAGTGTCGCGAAAGCGTGCGAAGGTCCTACTTGTGCTGAGATTGCTGATTGTTGCAGCTACTTCAAACTCCCATTTGCAATTGAGGTTTGTTATTCCTACATTTGCACCCTCTGTGTCGTAAGGTTTGTGTAGAAATGGGTGTAAGTTGTGCTAATATATGCGGTGTGTTGGACTACTGTAGATAGATAAGGCTTATCCGCGCGATTTCATGCAAATTGGGAGAGTGAGGGTCTTGCTTAAAAGGGAAGATGGAACTCCATATAATCCAGACATTACTTCCAGTAAGTGTTGCTTTATTATGACTGTACTTACCCTTAATTCTGTAACCTTCTCAAAAGTATCTTAGTATTTGTTTTTGGTGAAACATCATAAATAATGTATCAGTTAATGCGAGATTTTAGGAGCGGATAGTTATAATTGTTTTCAACTAGCCCATTTGTCTTTCCTTGACTGCTTATAATCCATGGTGAGAGGGAATATTGTAGAGAGAATCTCAATTATTGAAATAAAACTTAACGTGGTAGCAAAGGTATCCGGTTAAAATAGTCTCTCTATACGAGCAAAAACTATTGTCATATTTGGCAGTGTCTCGCTGTTTTTCTCCTTTTCGACAAAATTTTCTAGAGTCCCACAAGTTTACTCTCACCTTATATCATAGTCTCCTAATCTGCGAGTAAAGCTATGAGCTGGGGTGGGTAATGGGGAATGAATAAGATATAGGGTATAGAGATCCTTGTTTGTAACAATGTGGGCATATCCACTTTTTGCTGTGCTCATCTTTGAACAGTGGATGTTTAACGTTGTCAACCTTTACAAAGATAGTTCAAGTCAGAATAACTTGGTTCTTGACTTTCATGTATTAATAGGGTCAAGTTTAGACAAATGACAAGACAAATGGACTTTGTTTTCGAAGTTGTTTTAGTGAGCCCTTGCAAGGGATTCCTTGTCCGATTATGTCATTAACCCTACGAAGGGTGTCGCCGTGTTCTTCAACTCAACTGTTTGTTTTATTGCGCTATTTAGTTATTAAACAGAAAACAAAGATTTGTCCTTGATTTTGGTGTGTCTTTTGATTTGTACATGTATATATTGATTATTCGGTTTTGTTTTGACTAAATTGCAGGGAAACAGCTGATGCTGAAAGTTGCGGAGATGGTTCCCAGACATCCTGGGAGGACTAGGAAGCAGGAGCCCGCCACATCCACATCAAGTGCTGGACCTGCCAAATCTGGGAAACATGGAAAGAAAAAGAGATAGCTCCGCTCCAGTCTCACAAATCACTCACTCTCAGCTTAGACATTTCATGTTGTATACCCTAGTTATGTTTGAAAATTCATACATGATATCAACCATCATGTTTGAGGACGATTCATTTGTTTTGGTTTGAACCCTTTTGGAAAGTTGGAGATCATTTTTCGTGTCGCTTTTGCATTCATGGAAACAAAAACAAAAAACAAATGGAAAAAGAGAACGGCGTTCACTCATGAAAAAACATGTGCAAGGGAATGTTCACTCATGAAAAAACATGTGCAAGGGAATATTTCCGTTGGCATTATGCGAAAGAGCATTCACTCTTACATCTAAGGATCGAGTTTGATTCTCCCACCCCAATATCTCTTGTACAAAAAAGTGAGCATTTCCACCCGCTTGGTGGATTTGCTAATTGTGAATAGTAACTGTTGTTGAGCTGGAATTGGGGTTAGAATTGCCATGCTGCCAAGCTCAACCAGCCATGGCTTGGACTTGGAGGAGATGGGTGAGAAAGGGGGTTTGGAGTGGATTTTGGGTTTATTAGCATGTTTCATGGGTGGAAATGCTCTAATATACAGTCATAACATAAAAAGGTGACTCTGATGGTGACGATTTCTGTCAACGAACTGAGTCTGATTCAATCATGTGCTTTGCTTGGACTTCTTTGTCTTTTTTAGCGTAGCAACTTGTTTTTATGTTTACCTCGTGTAACATCTGTAATATCTTCTTGTATCACTAAAATTTATGTTTGAACAAAAAACAAAAAAAAAACATATAAAAGGGGTTAAAATGGGGAATTGCACAATATCCATGGTGTCACTAACTAACTGCTGTTAAAATAGAAACTGTAAATTACAGTGGCAAATTTCCAAAGAAACTACAGGGAAGGAACATTAGTTTTTCAATCTGATTTCTTCATGTTCACATAATGATTTGCTGCTTCTCCAAACAACTCTCTCACCTCTTGCAATTCTCTCTTACCTCACCCAACAAATGAAACCATCCAATTAAATTGTAATATTTTCTATTTGCGCATATTTCTCGGAAGACTGACCTGCTGCTTCCAGTTGCTTCTCAAGTTGTTAGCCCACGGTATCGTTCTCGGCCTGCAGCTGAGCAATCCTCTTCAACTGAGTTTCCTCGCCTCCCTCTGACAACGGCAGCGCCGCCACCAATGCATCTAATTGCACCAATGAATATTAAATTTAATTAATAAAAAACAAATCAGATGTCACGTCATCAAACTCAAAGCCGACCTGCTTAGACCATCTCCAACCAATCCGACCAGAGAGCCATAGGGCTAAAAATAGCACGAAATGACACGAAAACCGTCTCTAACAGAGGGCTAGGCCAAATGGCTCGTGGGCCCCACCGGGCTAAAATTGTGCAATCACACCAACCGACTGGCCCGAACCAGCCAGCCAACCAGTCACAGGCTGGCCCAAAATTCAAACCCCACGGCTACCTGATGCCAGGTGACTGTTGGATTTTAATTTTTTTTCCTATAACTACCTAAGTCATTAAACAACAATAAACAACACAAAACAACATTAAACAACACAATCTCCACCCTAGTACTACTTGGGAGAGTTATTCAAACTTAAACAACATGAAACCTAAAAAATTATCTAGTTTTCAAAACAAAAAAAACTTAAAAAATTATCTTGAATCCAAATGTAAATTAGGCCCATCATATATTTTTGCACAAGCCTTCCTTGACCTATTTGGATCATCTTGGTCATCATCAGACTCTCTATCAATATAGTCATTTTGCTTATCTTCCACAATCATGTTGTATAATATGATGCACGACATCATAATGAAGTTCAATTTATCCGAAAAATTATTGAGATTATATCTCAATAAATTATTGAGGTAATTTAATTTAAGTAACCCTATTAATTTAGTTTAAATAATAAATTATGTTTGGCCATGATTTTTTGTTACATGGCTATGTTTGGTCTATGACCATTTGGCCCCCTCAGTTGGAGATGGTAAGAAATATAGCATGACACTATTCATTAAAATATTAAGTTATTGGAGAGCTATAGGGCTAAAGAGAGCCTTATGGCCCTCATTCAATTGGAGATGGCCTTATGCTTTCACTAGATAAGAACTCATGAGCTTGGGTTGCTTTGCGAACTCTATGTCACTGTTCAGAGTTGAGTTCTTATTGGGATTGAGATCCGGAGCCAGTACGGGTCTGGCTTCTGGGTAATTGGGGGAGATTCAGGCGCATCCCATTGCAATGTTCCGATGGTGGTGAAGGCAATTGTCGCGATCGTGTTCACCTTTTCTTGCAACTGGCTGATTGAGTCCATCACTTTAGTGTTTGTCCCCAAAACACAGGAAGCAACCATCTTCAAAGGAGAATATCCAGTAATACGGCCAAAGTTATGTAGTTTTAGCAAAGTTGAAGAAAGTTGAGATTCAATCATAAATCTAATTAGCAATATAAGGAGTAGCTCAACCTCTTATAAGCCATTACAAGGTTTATCCTTTCACCAATGTAGAACTCTTTTACCTTCACATTCTCACAAAAATTACCCTCTTACTACCAGATGATGTGACGATTCGCATGTCATATGTTCGATCAATATTTAACAAGATAAAATCATTTATTAGAGTTCCCCTTCCGTTGAGAGATTATTTGAGGAATACCTTATAGTGTTTATTTTATAATTTTTTTCAACAGTTCAAACCGTCTATATTTTAGTACATTATTCATAAACTATTTATAAATAGATTAGACAAATTCAAAATTTTAAAGACATTTAATTTTAGTGAAGAAATAAATTGATATAGTTTTAAAAAAATAATTATTTGACCACATGGTTTCGGTTTTGGATATTTATGGGATATTTTTTTTAGATATAATGTTTGAGGAAAGATCTAAAGAATGAGGGTTGAATCGTTGAAATACGTGAAGTAGACTCTACTAAAATTCTATAAAATAAGCTTATTTGAAAAAGGTAATGTAGGGAGACCAAATTTTTTAAACCAAATGATGTGGTTGTAGATAATTGGATTTTTAATTAATTGTCAATTAACATGCTTGTTTCTTATTGGTGGCACGTAATTTGGTTCTCAAATTTGGTTTAAAAAATTCGATCTCCCTAACATTACCCTTCGAAAAATCCCTTCATGAAAGGGGATTGTCATTTATTTATATCATGTTTCACATATTATTTGTCACATGATACAAGTATGTAGTAAGGCTCATATCACTCTAGTTTAAACTTAAACTCACTCCTTTATTTTATCTCACTCCTCCCCTCTCCCTCCAAATCTATCTCTCTCTCTTCTTATTTCTCTCTCATTTTTTTTACTTTTTTGTCTCTCATCCAATCCGCTCTTTTCATTCTCTCGGTTCTTTCTCTCACTCATTTATCTCTCTATCTCCTCCGATCTTCTCTCTTTTTTCTCTTTCCTTCAATCATCTCTTATTTTCTTTCCTCATCTCTCCTTTTTCTTCCTCTCTCCTCTTTCTCCCTCTCTTGCGACCCACTCTTTTTAGATTTATTTGTCTAGTTTAAGTCGTAAGATTTAAAAATTTTAAATTGCAAACCAATCAAGTTTTTGAGTCTTAAAAAAAATATTTTCAAGAAATGTTCTTAAAAAATATTTTGAGAAATGATAAAAAAATTCAAATATGATACCAAACAGATCGTAAATTTGCAAACTAAATAATATGTCATTAATAAGAATAAACACGTTTATCAACGTTTAAGTAATAAATTAATCATCAACTTTTATATATTTTTTCTAATTTTTTACAAATTTAATTTTTTTAATATTAACCTTTAATAAAATATAATTTCATATGAAAAAGTTAAAATGCATTCGTGCGTTATAAGCATAAGAGGCCACATTCAAGTGTAAAGTCACTCCCCATTCCAAACTTTAACCCTCGGGCACGTGGCAATCTCAGGAAGCCGCTTAAGGGAAATGACATTAATGCGCATGTGCAATCATAGCATCACGCGCGAGCGCATCAACGACAAACCCAAAAAGAAACCAACTGAAGATTGAAGAACAAACGAACAGTGAAGACTCCGTGAGAGAGAGAAAGAGATGACGATGGGAACGACGACGACGACGCAGGCGTACGGCGAGCCGTGGTACTGGGACAACCGCTACGCCAACGAATCAGGGTCGTTCGATTGGTACCAAAAGTACCAATCTCTGGCTCCGCTGATCAATCTCTATGTCCCTCGCCATCCCAACCAACGCAACCGCATCCTTGTCGTCGGCTGCGGCAACTCAGGTACGTGCTCTGCCTTCTCCCTGCACCCGCACTCACCCGATCAGATCTCCCATTTGATTCACATTCCAAAGGAATTGGTTCCCAAAACGCAGCGTTTAGCGAGGGGATGGCTGATGATGGGTACGAGGAGGTGGTTAGTATTGACATTTCATCTGTGGTCATCCAAGCTATGCAGACCAAGTACTCGAATCGTCCGCACCTCAAATGTACGTATGTTTTTTTCTATCATTTAAATTTGATGTTTTTATGGCTTATTTATTTGTATTTTGGTTAATTTTCCCTTAATTTTGTTTATTAATAATTAATTAGATTTGCAAATGGATGTTCGAGATATGAGTGCTTTCGAAACTGCTTCCTTTGATGCAGTTGTTGACAAAGGTACTTCATTTTTCTTCTAATCGTAATTTGTTAATTATATTTTCAATACATTTTTTGTTACGAGCGATATTCGACTTTAAACTAATCTAAACTGCTAGTATTATTGGAAGTCGGTAGCACTTCCCCTCTAGGCAATGTGGCCACTCCCACGTCTACCTCTGCATTTGTTACAATAACATTGCCGTCCAAACATAATTGAACATTCATTTTTGCGAAATAATGCTGATTTTGATTTTTTTCTCGCAGGAACTCTAGACTCTCTTTTGGTAAGTGCTGATAACCCGTCTGCTTCGTTCTTGTTTGTTTTATCTTTGTTGAGGATTTTTATTTATTTTTCTGTTGTATCGATTTTTTTTGTGCCAAGTGCGGAAGTAATTCGCGGCAAAATGCTACCGAGATGCTTGAGGAAGTTTGGAGGTGCGTTAAGACTGTTTAATCGGTAAATGGAATTGTTCTAAGCTTTTGGTTTTGTTTATTTTCTTGATTTCGTTCACCATATATTGAAGCAGTTGATACAAATTATAGGGTCCTCAAGGATAAAGGAGTCTACGTTCTGGTAATGTTGCTTGTTCTTTTGTTCTCTGCCTATGATTTCGATATACCTTCCCTTCCCCCTTCCAGCCCGCCCGCCCGCCCGCCCTCTTTTTTCGTATTCTTGTTTTGCATTTTGTGTGTATCCATAACTTGTCTCAAACATGCTGCTGCAGATCACATATGGTGCCCCGTTGTATCGTTTGCGTTTGTTGAGAGAGTCATGCTCGTGGATGATAAAACTCCATGTCATAGGTTTTGATTAAGTCCTAACTTTACTTGTAATGTCGTTTTGCAATAAAAATGTTTTGTGACGTTTGGTCTTTTTGTTAGATATTGACTGTTGATTTCTCTGTACCATGTATGCAGAGAAACTTTCCTGCGAAGATAAATCAGAACCTCCAATTTGGGATCTGACCAATCCTGTTCCTCTAAATGATGATGGAAGCTCAACGGAGGAATTGCTGGGAAACAACCCTGATGTCCACTATATTTACGTTTGTACGAAGGTTGGTAGAAAGAAATTTCCTATCTTAGCACTTTAGAAATTGCTTTTCAGTTGCTTATTACGAACATAAAAGACGTGGCTTTTCAGTTCTGATTCTTTAGTTTTGTGTACACACAGGCATGAGAGAAGTTTAGTTCTTTAAGATAGGTTTGAGGTGTACATGTGACTATAATTTGATTTCATTTCCCTTCTTCTTTTGGTCAGGATGATTCTTTGTAAGCCAGGCCTTAAGCATGAACTGTCAGTCGATTGAGGAAGACGAGAATCTTCAACCTCGTACGATTCCTTTCCCTGTACCTGTATCATTACATATATTGAAACTGATGATTACAGCTTCTACTATGTTGTCTGTATAATGCTGGACCATAAGCCGAGCGTCTAATTCGTCATAACTTGTCTGCAATTCTTTGATATCTTGAAGTTAATATATTGAAACTGGGAACACTAAACAATGTACGGTGAAGTATTTCATTATTTTCTACATGATTTTGACAGTGGAAAAAAATTATACGAAACTCTGTGCTGGTTTGGTTTCTTACTTGAGATGAGTTTCCGTAGTTACTACTCGGTTAACAAGAGCGGAAAAACCCGACTCAGTAGTCAACGGAATGCCCAAAATTTAGCTGAGGTTTACAGTACAGGGGAGCCATGGCTGCCCTAACCCATGACTGCTGCAACTTGCAGTCGTGGCTTGTGATACGAGCATTTTATTTGGAGTAGGATTCTCTCCCCTCCTCTTCTTTTTGAACCGTCATGATTAAGCCGCTTAAGTTGAATTTTCAGTTAACAGCTTGTTCTTATCTTCAGTAGCAGTTGAGTTTTCAGTTACAAGATCTGGTGAAATTGACAGTGACTTGTTGGTTTGGTTTTTTGCTTTAAGACTTTTTGGTCTGTAACCTACAAGTAAAATAAAGAGCATGTGAAGAAATTGAAATAAATGGAGAGTGAGAATTTTTGCCGTTCACCGGATCCTCGTGTTTACTTATTAGCATTATTATGTGATGAGTGATACATATCGAAGGGATATAGAATTCTCTGACGAGGAAAAGACCCTCCACAAAAGTATTTAGAACGGAATCAACTCTCAATCCTGTGAAACGAGAGTAAAAATAACAATAAGGGGCAGATTAAGAGCTAGCTTTTGGAGAGAGGTTTCGAAGTTGTCACCTCTTTCAGCATTGAAATATAAGTACCGCTAGATTAAGAGCTAGTTGATAATTTTTTATGAATTAAGACGTAAATTTGAAAGTGACAAGATATTACCACCAATCAAGCTCGATCCAGGCACTCATCTAACTAGTACTTAATAAAGAAAATGACTTCTTTTTTTTCCACCTCTTTATGTCTAACGAATCTTCGTCGAACTATAGCATTCCCTTTTACTTTCTAGTTAGAAACGACACGGACTCAATCTTCATACTATCCTTTCCTTGGTTTTTCTCAATTCAATCATTGTAATTATAAAAGCACAAAAGATTTGAAAAACAGCAAAATAAAATTACCAATAAGATATTCCATTTCGATTCATTCGATCTGACTACCAAAAATTGAAAGGTAAAAATGAGTGTGGATTATACACCAGAACCCAGACACTCTTGTTAATTTTTGTCATTTTCTTGAATTCATTCGATCTGACAATCAAAAATTAAAAAAAAACAATGTAAAAAATAAAAATAAGGATGTGGATAATACAATTCTAGAGTAACAACACGCGTCGTGCGAAAACCAAAGAACACGTCGGATTAGTGTAAACGCAAAGCCATTCCACATTGACTTCCAATCCCTATCTTTCTCTCTCCCTCGCTCCGATTCGTTTCTCTTTCCTTTTATTTTATTAGTGCTTTTCACACGCTTCGCTTTCCCTCTCTCTCTGCCAAGGTACGTTTCTTGAACCGAAACCTCATTCCCCAGTCCCTCCCTCCCCCCCTCTCTCTCGCGACTGATTGGCTGAAAGCATTCGCCATTTCTCCCTTTCGGTTCTTGTTTTTCGATTTTGTTTGCGAACAGAGCAGAAATTGATTTTCTGCAATTTCTGGATTTGTATTTTGGTTTTGCGTTTTGTTGTGCGTGGATTGGTGGTGGTAATCACAGTCTCTCTCTCTCTCTCTCTGTCTCATGAAATCTAGGGTTTATGCGAGCTCGTCATGGCTGATACCAGGAGATACGCCCCCAATCAGCATCTAGGTCAGCTTTCTCTCCGTCTTCTCTTCATTTCAAGTTTTGTTCTGTCAATTTTCTTTATGTTTTTTTGGTTTAAAATTCGGATTTTTCAATTTTTTTTTTCAATACTTAACTCGACAATAGTTGTTTTCATGAATGGCTGTGATTTTTTTGTTTATTGGAATAATTATTGGGCGTGATCATTGATTGACACTTCATGCATGCGTGTAGTACTTTCAATTTTTCGTATTTGATGAAAGAATTAGTGTGGATGGATTAACCGAGTGAGTAATCTTGTGATGGAATGCTATTGCAAACGCCGGAAGTAATCTTGTATTGCATTGTAAGTGCATTGAGTTGTATCGTCTCTGTGTCGCATTTCCTCAGGTGCATCAAGTGTATTTGCTTATGAAATTGGGATTCCGAAAGTGTTTGTTTATGTCTAAGTAGTTGCTCGGCTTCGTTTCTTCCCCTGTATTTGTTTTTATTATTTTAGTTTTTATGATCTTTTAATCTGTTGGTACTTTTGGGAATTTGACAGACCTTGCCCAGATATTGCAAGAAGCAAAGAACCGTTGGCTTCGTCCAGCTGAAATTTGTGAAATACTTCGCAACTATCGGCATTTTGAATTGACCACAGATCCGCCCGTCAGGCCTCCAGGTTGACCCTTGCATGTTTGTTTTCTGAATGATTCTTGATGACTATGTATTTTGTTTGAATTTGTTAAGCTCTATCTTCAGTTAGTTGGGCTGTTATATTTTTTCTTTGGTTTTACTTATTTTCTAGTTAAAGTAGGAAAACCATTTTATGAATTTTTCGGAGATGTGCTTCATTTACTTGTAGAATATGAGAAGGCCAGATACTGCCATAAGAAACATTTTTTGGTTGATGAAACATTTCTTTTTCAGTTTTCCCTGGGGTTACACATTCTGTTATTTTCTTTTCGTTCCCAGTTATGTTTAAAGTACTCGTTATTGCTCAATTATCATTATTTTTACTATTTAGTATGGGTTAAGATGTGAAACAGTTGGACTGGTATTTTCTGTTTCTCATATACATAATGCAGGTATTCCACATGTCATATCTTAAATTGCTTCATTTAATTATCTAATTCTTCCTTTACCATTGTATGCCTAGAATCATCCCAAATGATCATTGGTCATTTGGGCATTTGTTACTTCAGATGGATCACTGGTATTCTTTCTTGGTATATGCAAACAGAAGCTAAATTATGTTCGCTTTTTACAGCTGGTTCTTTGTACCTGTTTGATCGAAAAGCACTTCGATATTTTCGTAAAGATGGTCATCGCTGGAGGAAGAAAAAGGATGGAAAGACAGTAAAAGAAGCCCATGAAAAGTTGAAGGTGTGCTGTTCAATCTATTATTAGTAAGTACACCTTTAGGGGTTGGTCCTAAGAGATAGGGTTGAGTCGTTGTCTGGTTTATGTCTTCCGTACCCGGATCCTCTGTCTTTTGGTGGTCGTAGTTTGCAGGTAACATAGATACCACAGAAGTGATGGATCAATACGTAGGTTTCATCGTACATTTTGTTGGTACGGCAATGTTAGTCACTTTAATAGACTATTTTTAATTTTAAGACATGATTCATAATTCTATTTTGTAATTGCAAAGATCAAAGTAAGTAGAGCATCCATGGGTCATATGTTATGATTATTGCTTTCAACTGTTCAGAGTTCATTGAGCATTGAATGTTTCTATAGTAGACCTTAATTTGGGGTCACTTGAGCACCCTTAGTTTTTAAGAAAATAAAACTTATAAAGAATAACAATATTTTTTCTGAATCCAGTGCTGGGTGTTGCAAATGTGACACAAATGGTAAATTCTTAATTTATCTACTTTGGAAGCTGTTGGTCATTTAGGTTGTTTTATCCCCGTGTTTAAACATTCTTTTTTGTTTTCATTTGTTCTTTTAATAGGATAATGTAAAAGGTTATTTAGTTTCTTCTCCCTTTATCTATTTAGATATCAATAAGTTTGTCTTTCTGGTGCTCAAATTTTTATATTCAAGGCTTTATTGTTAGCTATGATTTGACCATTTCAATTTTTGTGCATTGGAAAACTGATAAACTTTCTTCTGTAGCGAGTTTAGTCGCTTCAATTATTTTGGCTTGTATGGTCATTGGTATTGGTACTGCTTGATATTTAGCTCTCTGTTGGTTTTTGACATTTTTTAGGCTGGCAGTGTAGACGTACTTCATTGTTACTATGCCCATGGGGAGGACAATGCAAATTTTCAACGGCGGAGTTATTGGATGCTTGACACGTGAGTTTTCTGTTTGAAGCTGTAAATTAGGTTTCGATTAGGTTGCATAAATTCCATTAACCACCCCTCTGGGAAAAAAAATAAATCATTCATGCCCAAGAACTGATGTTTAAAATTGCAATCTCAATATATCTTCAAGTCATAAGGATAAGTTATTGTTGGCCAATAAATACTCTGTTTTCTTTGTTTGCAGGCATTTACAGCACATTGTTCTTGTGCATTACAGAAATGTGGAAGAGGTACGTACTCCTACAGTTTTTTTTGTTAAAATTTGTGCATGTGTATCTGCGCACACATTGCAGATAGGATACAGATGCCCAGACAGTTATTATTATTTTTGGTTTTTAAAATAAGACTTGCTGTCCCTCCTTGCTCTTCACAGGCAAACTCAGCTGCCCGTATGGTTCAAACATCCTTTGGTTCAAGTCCACTTCAAACATCCTTTGCTTCAAGTCCAGTTCATACATCCTTTGCTTCAAGTCCAAACAGAGTTGAATTGGGTGGACAAACATTATCGAAAGAATTTGAGGATGTGGATTCTCGGAGAGATGCAGGAACTTCATCTGTTGAGCAACCGATGTTTGGTTCCTTTTCTCATAATGCTTCTTTGCTTCCTCAACAAGTTGGAGGTAAAATGCGTAGCTGCAGATGCCTTTTCGTTTGTGTTTGATTCGTTCAATCAGTTTTTGACATTTTTTAGAGTCTTGCAATATCTTTTCTGTTTCTACTTTTACTCATTACTGCTGGACATTCCATGGTTCCATTTTGTTAAAAAAAAATGATATCATCGCATTTTTTTCTTTTCTGTTTCCTGATCACATTTTACTGCCTCTGGTCTTTTAACAGTAACATGCACGATCCATTTTATCAAACTCCGCTTCTAGACCTCTTTTAGGTCCTATTTTCATGTTGTGGTTTTTTCCATTTTATAGACGAAACTCATTGAGTAATGCTGTTTTTTACGCATATAAAAATCGTATTTGTTTCAATGATTTTGATTTATCTTTTGCAATAATAAGTTTCCAAAAATGAAATATGTGACCAGGTGTCTCTGGTGCTTTTCAGGATTTCCTGAGTCATTCAGGGATCCCTCTAGTACATGGTATGGTGGACCTAAATTTGATCATGGTGCTGGATTATCTGCCTGGCAAGGAATGGATAGCTCAATGAGAAATGAGCACATCATGCATGGCCAAAACCTTTTTGTTGAAGAACCTAACAGAGCTGACTTTATAACTCTTAAGCTAACAGATGCTAAAGTGGATGCTCATAGTGGAGTCAAAGATGTAACTTGTGAAGATAGGTTGACCACTAACATAGATGTCCAAATTGTCTCAGCACCTTCTCAAAGAGAAGATCAGGTCTGTTTTCTACAGTCACTTTCCTTCCCACTGTCTATACCTAATTAATTTAGTTTCCTAAATATCTTATATTGCATTTTATGAGATAGTGCTATGTTGTAGAATATGCATCTTTATTTTTGAGATTGATGAGTAGAATTTAAATTTCAACAGTATTGTAGTATTAGACTATTAGTTGACAACTTGACAGTAATATATATGAATGTGAACACTCACACTCACACACTCAGAACCCCCTTTAGTAGCATAAGTTACCACAATAGACTACTACACTGTTGAAGAAAAACGAGACCTAAATCCTAAATATTTCAATTTGGATAGCTAATTGAACTTAAAACTTTTAATAATGCAAGTAATGAGAATTGATTTAAGCCAACCAGGATTTTTCATTGTGTGGGGTAAGTGGAGTACCTGTCCCTATTACACAGATCATAATGATCCATGTACGAGGAAAATTGTTATCTAATGCTATCGTGTGCATTTTAGAATGCCTCAGAAGTTGATAACAAGTACAGTCATGCACACTTTTTCCTTTCCCTCTCTTTACTCAGTGACTGATGTGATGTATAAACATGTATTGTCATATGTCTTGGAAACATTGACTATACTAATGTGTATGTTCTATTAGGTTGCTTTTGAAAGTCAAGTATCAGATTGTCTAAATTTATTTTTCTTGTACTATTTCTCTCTCAATTTATGCACTTCACTTTTTAAGGTTAGTGTTTCGTGTGGTGGGAATTTTCTTAGTGATACTTGAACCTTCTTGCAGGTGCCAAAGGAGCATGACTTCAATGTGCTTCATCCTCAGGTTCAAGATTATTCTGATCCTCAGATTGTAGTAACTCCTTCCAACCAAGTTGAAGAGAATAGAGATTGTCGTGTGCGTAATGAACCAGTGGAACTGAAGAAACTAGACAGCTTTGGGAGATGGATGGATAAAGAAATTGGTGTGGATTGTGATGATTCCTTGATGGCTTCCGACTCTGGTAATTACTGGAGTACATTTGATGCTGAGAGTGGTGATAAGGAAGTGTCCAGTTTATCACACCATATGCAGTTGGATATAGAGTCACTGGGTCCTTCTCTTTCCCAAGAACAACTATTTACTATTTCTGATTTTTCACCAGATTGGGCTTATTCAGGAACTGAAACAAAGGTATGTATACAGTTCGTATTTTTGTTATAATTATTTATTTATTTCTATAAAAAAAAATGTACACAATACATAAGACATTGACATTGTTCAGTTTTTGCCTCTCCTCCTTTTCAGGTTTTAATAGTTGGCAGTTTTCTTGGAAGCAAGAAGGATTGTGCTGAGACTAACTGGGGGTGCATGTTTGGTGAAATAGAAGTTTCTGCTGAAATTCTATCTAACAATGCCATTAGATGTCAAACTCCTCTGCATGCTCCTGGGCGTGTTCCATTCTATGTGACCTGCAGAAATAGGTTAGCCTGCAGTGAAATTAGGGAGTTTGAATACCGTGAAAAACCCATTGGAATAGCCATCAACAGGTTAAGAGATGATGAATTACGCTTTCAGATACGACTAGCAAAATTGTTGAGCTTGGGCTCAGAGAGGAAGTGGTTGATATGTGCTGTTCCAGATTGTGATCAATGCAAGCTCAAAAGTTCCATATTTTCAATGAGAAGCAACAGTGAAAGTGATTGGGAAACAATTGATGGGGCTTCTGTGGCATGCGAAAGTGACCACTTGAGCCGTAGGGATGTCTTGATTCAGAATTTGTTGAAGGATAGACTCTGTGAATGGCTAGTATGTAAAATTCACGAAGGAGGCAAAGGAACACATGTTCTGGATAATGAAGGCCAAGGTGTTCTACATTTGACAGGTGCTCTTGGTTACGAGTGGGCCATAGGTCCCATAATTGCTGCAGGTGTCAGTCCCAATTTCAGAGATGCTCACGGAAGAACAGGGCTTCACTGGGCATCATATTTTGGAAGGTACGGTTGCTGTTATAGATTCTTCTCTTTTATATGTCCAATCATATTCATCATCTACTTGCAATATATATGGAGTGATCAGTATTAAATTCAAATACTGCATTTCTAGGCTCATTGTTCTCTTGATATTGCTTTAGTATATAAGATTAAGTGAATAGAGGTCGCACTTGGTGCGATGGCAAGTGCCTTCGCCCATGAGCGGTAGGTCTCGGGTTCGAGACTTGGGAGCAGCCTCTCCATAAATGGGGGTAAGGCTAGCCGACATTCACCTCTCCCAGACCCTGCGTAAAGCGGGAGCCTTGTGCACTGGGTACGACCTTTTATATAAGATTAAGTGAATGTTATCTTACCTTTTCTGAGGATGGGTAAAAGGGTCAGCTATGCCATCTTAACGCTTTATTTATGCAACATGGATAGATCTCTATGTAACACTAATCTCTTAATTTTTTTGAATCCTTTTATAGAGAGGAAACTGTCATTGCGTTACTTCGATTGGGTGCCGCTCCAGGAGCCGTCGAGGACCCAACATCTGTGTTTCCTGGCGGACAAACTGCTGCTGATCTAGCCTCGAGTAGAGGGCATAAAGGGATTGCTGGATATTTGGCAGAAGTGGATTTAACCAGTCACCTGGAGTTGTTGACCATGAATGAGAATAGAATGAACAATGTTACAGCAACTATTGCAGCTGAGAAGGCCAAACAGACAGCAGAAGTTTCTGCATCTGATGTTGCAGTAGATGAGCAACATTTTCTCAAAAACCCTATAGCAGCTGTTAGGAAATCAGCTCATGCGGCTGCTCTAATTCAGGAGGCTTTCAGGGCTCGTTCATTTCGTCAGAGACAGTTAACCAAGAGCAGAACAGATATTTCTGAAGTTCAGTCTCAGGACCTTGTTGCACGTCGTTCCTTGAAGAGAGTCCAGAAGTTCGCTCACTATGAGGATTATCTGCATGTCGCAGCAGCTCTGAAGATCCAACAAAACTATCGTGGATGGAAGGGAAGAAAGGATTATCTGAAGATTCGTGACCGTATTGTTAAAATTCAGGTACCTCATCTTTTTGCTACTAATTGCGCATCGCATGCTTAGTTATGTTCCAGACTAATGTTTTTCAATTGTGGGCACGCATTGACTGCACAATGCGTTTTCCAACCCTGCATGTTCACAATACAATGTGTCACAGTTATCTATTCTTTGAAATACTGTGACCATTTGAATTTTTGTTTTTGTGGGACTTGGGTGTACCTTCACAATACAATGCGTTTTCCAACTCTGTTTGTTGCTTTTAGGCTCATGTGAGGGGACATCAGGTTCGGAAGAATTACAAAAAGGTTTTGTGGTCTGTTGGTATACTTGAAAAGGTTATACTGCGTTGGAGGCGAAAGGGAACTGGTTTGCGAGGATTTCGGGTGGAAGGGCCTACTGAAGATGCATCTTCAGAGGTTAAGAAAAATGATGACTATGAATTTCTTAGTGTCGGTCGGAAGCAGAAATTTGCTGGGGTTGAGAAAGCTCTCGCAAGGGTAAAGTCCATGGCTCGTCAGCCTGAAGCGCGTGAACAATACATGAGGCTACTTTCAAACTTTGAGAAACTTGAGGTAACCTTTCATTGTATATGTATTCAAAAATATACATGCGCAAATGCAAATGTATAGATAAATCTTCAAAATTCGAAATGCGGGGGGACTTTTCATGGAAACTGGAAGAGCTTCCTCCTGTTTTTTTCAGGAATAATTTCTCCAACGTAGATCGTGCGCACTATAATGTTTTCCTGTTTATTCGAAAGCTGATGTATATTTTCATTATCAACAGATGGCGGACGGGGAGAACCAGGCCTCGAATCAAAATGAAAGTTCCGACGAAAAAGTTATAGATGAAGTTCTGCGTGCACTCAATGAAGGTCAATGATCAACTTCCACCATGTCAAGTAATTGAATGGAGTAAACCAAAGGCTGTATGGCACTATTTTTGTCGCCCTACCCGTAATATTTTCGCCTGTATTTAACGGCCGTCGTGGTTTTTTTACCGGGGAAATTTTGTCAATTGCAGGAAGGATGGGAGAAATGGGAAAAAGCATAATTGTATATGGCACAGATTTCCTTTTTCCTTGCTTAACCAGTAGTCAAGTTTGATCTGACCTAGTTTTCTAGGGTTTTTATGAAACGTGGGCAGCTGATGGTCAAAATTTCAGAGTAGTTGACAGGTTTAAAGTTTACCAATGGTGCTATATTTTACAGTTACCATGGGTTTGTTTTCCATAAATTATCGTAAAATTACAACCCATTTGGTGCCGTATAGTTTACACTAATTAATCTAAATTGCGAGCACATTGCAATAGCTAACTCGGCTCAGTTTAGGTTTACAATTCAATTCTTTTTCCATTAACCACTTTTTTTGTGACAAAATATTTAGTGGGAGGGGAAGTTATCTCATCTCAGGGTCAGGGGTGAACCATAAATTTCTTTGAGGACATAAGGAGTTTTAGCTTTTTTTGAATGAAAAACGTTGCAGACTCTGAGTCGTTGATAAAAGTTAATATTAGCTCAATAGACGATCCAAATTCAGAGTTTAAAAATATAAATATCGAGCTAGTGGTCCTTTACCACATTGGTGGAAATGTGTTGTGCTTTTGTTTGACAGCGTGGATTCAAATTTCATCGGTGGTTAATATAACATCTAACTTACTAACGCGCTCGACTCAAAAAAAAAAAAAAAAACCAATATAAACATCGAAAATGTATAAAAATTGATGAGCCTACCACATTGTCTTGTGAAATAGGAGGAAGTTGAGCAGAGGCAGAGAGACCCTTCAGTTTCGGTATCAAACCCACAAGTCCCGCCGGACTGCGCTCACCTCTCACACGGTCACACCCGGTATCCGGCACGGCGAAGCTCAGCTTAATCCCGTAGATCCAATCCAACGGCCCTAACCCTTTCAGTTCGTCTGTATTCGTCACGCTCGTATAATGCGTGCAGTCCAAGATACTCATGCCCATGAACTTCACCGTATCGTATCCCGTAAAACAACACGGTGGAGAAACAGTAGCAGCAGCAGCAGTCGTACTAGTACTATTAGCACCGTTGGTTAAAAATCCTCCTGGATTGGGGGTAGGAGTAGCCAATCCGGAACCGGAACGGAAAATCCAAAAGGCGTTGCAGGAGTCGCAAAGCTCGTCGCAGGCGTGGCCGGAGAAGTTGAAGCAGAGGGACTTGTAGTTGTTGAGGACAGGGGAGTCGACGGAGCAGTTGAGGAGGGTGAAGACAGTGTCGGAGGTGGGCGGGATAGGAGAAGAGAGTGAGAGTGGGGAGGAGTTGGAGGTGGAGGGATAGGAAAAAGAGGTTGACTATGGAGATGAGTGGTTTTGACTGAGACCATCACATTTTCGATGCGTGTGAAAAATGAAAAGATAGGCCATCTCCAACCGATCAGGCCAAAAGATTATAGGGTTAAAAATAACTTGTTTTAATATGAAAATTATCTCTAACCGAGAGCTAGGCCAAAAGGCTCATGGTTCCTACCTGACAAAAAATGGGAGAACCGGCCAAAGGGCTGGCCAAGAGCAGTCAACCTTTCAGGCCTACAGCCCAGCCCTCTAGCACCAGAATGTGAAGCTTTACATTTTGTCAGCTCTTCAATTTAGCCCATTTGAATGGCAACGGCTAGCTGCTTGTCATGTTTTGAATTTTTTTTTTGACGAATTTAAAAAAAAAATTCTTATTTTTTTCCTATAAATAACTAAGCCATTCCTACACCATTTCTCACATATTTTTCACCATTCCATATTATCTAACCTCATTTTATTTCAATTCTTCACATTCTATTCTCTTACCTCTTTCAACAATCTTTCCTTTAATTTTTTCAATAATTTTCATGTAGCCACATCTGCAATGAAAGGAAGGGCTTGGACCTAAAAAGAAGATGAAGCTCTTTGCAGAGATTATAGATGGGTCTCAGAACATAGTGTCAATGGTAGTTCTAAAAAAAGTGAAGGTGTATGGAGGTGTGTGAATTCTAACCCAATATCCAGCCAATTTATTAACATTGGAAACTGAAGATAAGAAGTATCACGTAGATAAGAATCCTATCTAAAATGTGCACAACCAATTACATCTCGACACGTGGCACTCAAAATCATATCCGAAAAATTATTAAGAGTACATAAAGATAAGAAATCTCGAGAGTTACTCACTTTAGTGATACATATCACTCAAAATCCTATCCAAAAAATTATTAAGATTATATAAATATATGAAATCTGAAGGCTTATTCATTTGGCGACAAGTGACACTCAAAATATGTCCAAAAACCTTATTTTAATATGGTAGTTTAATTTAAGTAACCATATTAATTCAATTAAAATAATAAATTATGTTTGGCCTATGATCCTTTGGCCTCTACGGTTGGAGATGATTTTTTGTCAAAGCGCTATGCTTGGCCTATGACCCTTTGGCCCCCTCGGTTGAAGATGGTATAAAATATGGTCTTAACACTTTTCATTAAAATATAATTTCTTGCAGGATTATAGAGCTAAAGGAAGCCCTTTGACCCTTCTTCGGTTGGATATGGCCTTAGTTACTGTGGCTGTGATGGGATCCACAAGTTGAAAAACAGGGAAGAAAGCATAGCGGCTTCAGCGAGGACATGGAGTGAGATTGGTAGTGTGAGTTTATAACTAGACAAAGTACGTTATTATGATAATTGGTTGTATCGAGAATTTGAGTTTGGCTCTCGACTCAAGGTTAAGTGACAAATAACAAATGATTTGTTAAGTTCTAGGGTAAAAGGTTTTGTCCAAACCACTCAAACCGACCAAATCAAATTCATATTCAAAGAATTATTTGGTTTGATATTAACACTAGAAACGTGTAATCTTGAGCCAAATCGGATAAAAATGTGATTTTATTGCTTTGGTTCGATTTGAAACCACCTTAACTGAATTGAATGCATAGGGTTAGGGACGTTAAAAGGAGAGATGTTAGCAGCGTGGTCTGAATTTAGAATCCACTTGCGCTTCAAATGTAAGACTAAAAACATGGCTTTGGGGCCCTTAAAAATCATAGAAGAAATGCGGTGAAGGTGGATCGAACACCTGACCTTCAGATCTTCAGTCTGACGCTCTCCCAACTGAGCTATCCCCGCCACTTGCTAAGTTCTACATAAACTTATTTTATAACACTTTGCATTACACTTTAACCCCTCACCCAATAATACTCCCACAACCAAATGCTAGCTTTTCTGTGTTGTCAATGCTGGCTTCTAAACTAAAAACATGATATGCTAGGCACATATTTATCTTAGTATTGATATTTAGAATAAAGAGCAATGCTAAGGATACTAAATTTGAGAGATACTAAATTTGAGGACTAAATACGCAAACAAAATGATGTGTCAACAATAAGAAAAACACGTTTATCAAAGTTTAAATAATCAACAAATCAATCCTTAATTTTCAAAACTTTGTCTCCAAATTTATAATTTTCAAAACTTTGTCTTCAAATTTAAAGCATTACCCTAGAATAAAAGATCCAAGAAATAAACCAATTAAGCTTAACCAGTAGAACTCACCACCCCCTCCCTCATGGGCATGAAAAACACACAGAATCGATCCGCACACATGATATTATTGATAATATGCTTCATTACTTAATTACACAAAGGGTAGCAGCAGCCACAGAAGCTACTACATATTTAGGCACCAGTCACAAACAAAAGGCACATACTTCATGTTACACACTACTCCTTCATTCTTTCGGATATCTCCACAGTATTTAACATTATCAAACGTCTGTGAAGCGAAGGTACCCCTTCTTCGACGGGAGGTCCATAGTCTTGTAGCCCTGAGGGAACGTCTTCTTGGCCTCCTCCTCAGACACCGACGGAGAAATGACCACCGGATCCCCCGGCTTCCAGTTCGCCGGGGTTGCCACCTTGTGCTTGTTCGCCTTCTGCAGCGACTCCAACACCCTCACCACCTCGTCCATGTTCCGCCCCGTGCTCGCCGGGTACAGAAAGCTCAGCTTCACCTATAACCAAACAAATTAATTAACCCCAAAGTTTAGCCTTCGTACACACAATTACACATAATTAAGCTTCCATTGGGCCTAAGTACCTTCTTATCAGGCCCCACGATGTGAAGAGCGCGCGAGGGAACTTGGTTTCCTGAGGAGTCCTTGACATCCGGCTCCACCATGTTAAGTTGCTTAATGATCTCTCGTTTCGGATCTGCCAGAATCGGGTAGTCCACCTTGCACCCGGACTGCATAACACAAAACACACATATGTATGTGTGTGTGTATATGTATATATATATAAACCACCCTTGCATATATAACATAACCAAAAAATGAGTGTTGGAAACACTAGCCAAAATTAGAGCGTCAATCGAACATATTGAATAATCAGAACTTACGTCGTAGGCTTCGATATCCTTGATCCACTCGAGGTGAGAAGGCACATCGTCGCATGACAAACCCACAAGCTTCACTCCCTTCTCTCGAAACTTGGGAGAATACTCGGCCATCTTCCCGAGCTCCGTAGTGCAAACCGGCGTGAAATCGCCTACACGCATGCACATGCAACCACATAATCAAACTAATTAAGCAAATTAACAAGAGGAATTAGTAAGTAATTAAGGTTAATTACCGGGGTGGGAGAAAATGATGGCCCAGCTGTCGCCCAAGTAGTCGTAGAGCTTGATCTTTCCATGGGTGCTTTCAGCTTCAAGGTCTGGGATGGTGTCTCCAATGGTGAGTCCTGGCATCTTCACAACTAGTAACGGACGCAAACTGCAACTCTCTGTGCTTTGTGAGAAAAAGGAGACATGTAGGGACTATATAAAGACTTGTGGGACCATTGCATGGGGAGAACGTGGCTAGGGAGTTGTCGCAGTTGGCCCCATGGCACTGGTTTTGGGATGTTGCCACGTGTCCAATATGAAGACAACGTGGCCATTGGTTTCTGGATTAATGAGCGCATGGCAATCTCTTGAATTTTCATTATTCTTATTTTTATGTTATACATGTTATTTCGGTATCCTCAGCAACGGAGATGTAGCTCACATCGCTTTGCATTCGAGAGGTACGGGGTTCGATACCCCGCATCTCCATAAGTTTACAAATTTCTTTTATTTTTTGGCTTTTTTTGGCTTTCCTTTCCGGCGCAATATCTCACTTTTTCACTTACTCGGTCGCAGCTCAAATCGCTCAGCTGCTGAACGAGACACTCAGCCACGACTGCGGCGCCGTCCACACGGCGACTGAAGCACTCGATTGCCTCTCGTAGCTCCCCCAATTCCCTTACTATTTCCTCTCCATCTCCACCGGTAATTAAGCTTGCAACTCATGATAATACGCGATTTATGGCTTCTTAGTGGAAAATTGGGTCGATTTGTGTGTTAATTTGATACCAATGTTGATTATTGGCTCAAACAATAGTCAAAAGTGAAACAATACTTTCGGCTACTTTGTGGGTGTTGGTTGGCATGCTGCATGTGGGAGACAAACAAAAATGGATGCACTTATGCCTAATTCTTTTGACTTGATGAGCGGCCTTTGACCATTGGTTTCTTTGAGGAGCCATTTTCTTTGGCTTTAAAAGGAGAAGCAGGAGCAGCCCGTAATATATGAGAGGAAAAAGAGCAAGAAGCCATTCGGTAGAGAAAAGAATTTTCTCAAATTGTTTTGCTTTGTATTTTTTGTTTTTTCCCTTCCTATGATAAACACGATTGTATGTTCTCATTGATTATAGTGGAATACTCCGTGGTCTCCAAACTGGATGTAGGCATTGCCGAACCAGTATAAATCTTGGTATTCTTGTTGATATTTTTTTTCATTTATCTTTTGTTAGTTATTGTGGTTTATTTTTTCACTCACACTTGGTTGACGCTACCGCACAACAAGTGGTATGAAGAGCCCAGTTTCTTGAACAGTGAACTGCTACAGTATCTGTGAATGGTATTGTACCTGTGAAGAGTGCCGGTTTTGTGAAGAGTGCCAAGTAGATGGCTGGAGATAAAGATGAATTTGTGAAGAATAAGGAGTCAGGATCGTCTTCATCGACACCTACATCCAATAAACATCCAACTACTACTACAAGGTTAGAGGTTGATAAAGTCAATGGCTCTAATAATTTTGGTATGTGGCAATGTGAAGTTATGGATGTGTTGTATCAACAAGAGTTGGATATGGTTCCGGAAGATAAACCAGAAGATATTGATGACAAGCAGTAGATGCGAATTAATCTTCATGCTTGTGCTACTATTCGATCGTTCCTTGATAAGGAGTTGAAATACCTGTATATGAAGGAAACTTCTGCTAAGGAGTTATGGACGAAATTGGAGGAGAAGTATATGACCAAGAGCGCAGAAAATCGTCTCTTCTTGAAGAAGCGACTCTTTCGATTTCAGTATCGTCCAGGTATTTCTATGCACGAACACCTCAATGATTATAATAAAATACTTGCTGATTTAGCAAACCTTATGTGAAAATTCCTAACGAGGATAAGACACTATGTTTGTTAAATTCATTGCCTGATGATTATGATCATTTGACAACTACTCTGTTGTATGGAAAATCCGAGGTGAAACTTGATGAGGTTTCTACGACATTGGTGAATCATGAGTGTCGTAAGAAGGAACTGAAGACTCACAATTCACAAACCGAGGCACTTGTTGCAAGGGGTCCAACAGAGGAAAGAAAATTTAGGAAGCGAGGAAAATCTCGTTCAAAGTCATGAGGGAAGTTTCCTGCTAAAGATGAATGTGCTTTTTGTCGCCAAAAGGGTCATTGGAAGAAAGACTGATCCAAATTGAAGAACAAAGAGAAGGAGAAAGCGAGTTCTGAAGCAAATATTGCAAAATCTGGAGATGATGATTTTGAGTTTGCTTTGGCTAGTTCATATGCTGATGGTCACTCCAAGGAGTGGATTTTGGATTCAGGTTGTACCTATCATATGTGTCCCATTCGGGAATGGTTTTCTAGTTTCGAGGAGTTGGATGGTGGAGTGGTTTTGATGGGTAATAATAATGCCTGCAAAACACAAGGGATAGGCAAAATCTATTTAAAGATGCATGATGGAACAATAAGAGAATTAAGTGATGTTCGGTATGTACCAGATATGAAGAAAAATCTTATCTCATTGGGTGTATTGGAATCCAAGGGTCTCAAGATCACCATGGAGGGTGGAGTTCTTAAAGCTGTATATGGGGCATTGGTGGTGATGAAAGGTACAAGATGAAATAACTTGTATTTCTTGCAAGGGAGTACAATTATTGGTGGAGCAGCTGTCACTGAAGCTGCTCACGCATATAACACAGACACCACGAGGTTATGGCATATGCGTCTTGGGCATGCTGGTGAAAAAGCGTTGCAAGGATTGGTGAAGCAAGGCTTATTGAAAGGTGCAAAGGCATGCAAATTGGAATTATGTGAGCATTGTGTGTTAGGTAAGCAAACTAGAGTAAAATTTAGCACTGCTATTCACCACACTAAAGGCATTCTTGATTATGTTCACACTGATGTTTGGGGGGACCTTCCAAGAATGCATCTTGGGGAGGTAGCCATTATTTTGTCTCATTTGTTGATGACTTCTCTAGAAGAATATGGGTGTACACCATGAAGCATAAAGATGAAGTCTTGAAGATATTCCTGAAGTGGAAAAAGATGATTGAAACGCAAAGCGGTCGAAAGATCAAGACTCTCAAATCAGACAATGAAGGTGAATATAAGTCTAATCTTTTCTCGAAAGTTTGTCAAGATGAGGGTATTGTGAGACACTTCACGATTAAGGAGACACCGCAGAATGGAGTGGCGAAGCGTATGAACCGTACTTTGCTTGAGAAAGTCCGGTGTATGTTGTCTAATGCTGGTTTAGGCAAGGCATTTTGGGCTGAGGCAATTACTTATGCAAGCCATCTCATTAATCGATTGCCAGCTGCTGCGAACGAGGGCAAAACGCCCATGGAGGTATGGTTTGGTAAACCTTGTACTGATTATAAGTTTTTACACATATTTGGTTGTCCTGCTTACTATTATGTCAGAGAAAGAAAGTTGGATCCAATAGCAAAGAAAGTTCTATTTATGGGCTTTAGCACTGGCGTGGAGGGATACCGACTCTGGTGTCCAGATGAGAAGAAATTTGTTGTAAACAGAGATGTGACTTTTGATGAGGCTGCTATGGTTAATCAGAACAAGCATGAAGGTGAAACTGAAGCGACCGAGACCATGAGTAGCTCAAAGTAGGTGGAGTTACTGAAGACTCCAGTTGTTCCAGTAAGGTCTGATGTTACAAACACTAGTCTTATAGTTAATTATGATGATAAGGACAATGATGATGAAGAGGAAGCACCTACCCAAGAGCCTCCACAACAACAAGACTATATTGCAACTAGAAGATCGAGAAGGGAAATTCGAAAACCTGCTCGATTTACTGATATTGTAGCATATGCACTTCCCGTTATTGAAGATGATATTCCATCCGCCTACAAAGAAGCTGTCATGAGTTCAGAGTGTGAGTTGTGGAAGAAATCTATGGATGAGGAGATGAAATATCTTCATAAAAATGAGACTTGGAAGTTGGTTCAGTTACCAAAAGGGAAGAAAGCAATTGGTTGTAAATGGGTGTATGCCAAAAAGATGGAATCTTTGAGAAAAGACAATGTAAGATTCAAAGCTAGATTGGTAGCTAAAGGCTACGCTCAAAAGGAAGGCATTGACTACAATGAGGTATTTTCTCCTGTAGTAAAACATTCTTCTATTCGTATTCTGTTGGCTTTGGTTGTACAGTTTGACCTTGAGTTGGCCCAACTTGATGTCAAGATAGCATTCTTACATGGTGAATTGGAGGAAGAGATTTATATGTCTCAGCCAAAAGGTTTTAAGGTTGCTGGAAAGGAAAATTGGGTTTGAAAATTGGAAAAATCATTGTATGGCTTGAAGCAGTCTCCAAGACAATGGTACAAGCAATTTGATCGATTTATGATCGGGCAAACGTACACAAGAAGTCACTATGACCATTGTGTATACTTTCGCAAACTACAAGATGGAACCTTCATTTATCTGCTTTTATATGTTAATGATATGCTTATAGCATGTAAGAGCAAAGTGGAGATTGAAAGGTTGAAGACTCAACTGAGTAATGAATTTGAGATGAAGGACTTGGGAGAAGCTCAGAAGATACTAGGTATGGAAATTGAAAGAGATAGAGCAAAGGGCAAGATTAGTCTGTGTCAGAAGCAGTATTTGAAGAAGGTACTACAACGTTTCAGGATGAATAAAAATTCAAACCGGTTAGTACACCTCTTGCCCCTCATTTCAAACTTAGCGCTTCTATGTTTCCTAAAACTGTTGAAGAGAGTTAGTACATGGCTCAAATTCCTTATGTAAATGTTGTTGGTAGTTTGATGTATGCTATGATGTGTACTAAGCCTGATATTTCACAAGCTGTTAGTATTGTCAGTAAATATATGCATAATCCAGGAAAATGGCATTGGCAAGCTGTGAAATGGATTCTACGGTATATTCTGGGTACTGTGGAGGTTGATTTATTGTTCCAGCAGGATAAATTTACTGGTCAATATGTTGTTAGATATGTGGATTCTGATTACGCAGGTGATTTGGACAAGTGTAGGTCCACTATTGGTTTGGTTTTGTATTCACTATTGCTGGAGGTCCATTAAGTTAGAGGTCGATTCTGCAATCTACAATTGCTTTGTCAACTACTGAGGCAGAATACATGGCTGTAACAGAAGCTATAAAGGAAGCCATCTGGCTTCAAGGGTTGCTTGATGACTTAGGGGTTCAACAAGACCATGTGGATGTTCATTGCGACAGTCAGAGTGCTATTCATTTAGCAAAGAATCAAGTTTATCATGCACGTACGAAACACATTGACGTGAGGTTCCATTTTGTTCGTGAGATTATTGACGAGGGAGATATTATTCTTCAGAAGATTGAGACTGCTGACAATCCTACAGATATGTTGACAAAGCTAGTTTCGTTGCTCAAGTTTAAGCACTTCTTAGACTTGATTGGCATTTGTAAAATTTTTTGATTGCCCCATGGGGAATTGGGAGACGACTATTAGGAGTTCTACTTAGAGGTTTGAGCCAAGGTGGAGATTGTTGATTATTGGCTCAAACAATAGTCAAAAGTGAAACAATACTTTCGGCTACTTTTGTGGTAGTGAGTGTTGGTTGACATGCTGCATGTGGGAGACAAACAAAAATGGATGCACTTATGCTAATTCTTTTGACTTGATGGGAGGCCTTTGACCATTGGTTTCTTTGAGGAGCCACTTTCTTTGGCTTTAAAAGGAGAAGCAGGAGCAGCCCGTAATATATGAGAGGAAAAAGAGCAAGAAGCCATTCGGTAGAGAAAAGAATTTTCTCAAATTGTTTTGCTTTGTATTTTTTGTTTTTTCCCTTCCTATTGTAAGTGAGTGAGCTTGGGTTATTCGGGTCTTTGGGAAATTGAGTGATAAACACTATTGTATGTTCTCATTGATTATAGTGGAATACTCCGTGGTCTCCAAACTGGATGTAGGCATTGCCGAACCAGTATAAATCTTGGTATTCTTGTTGATATTTTTTTCATTTATCTTTTGTCAGTTATTGTGGTTTATTTTTTCACTCACACTTGGTTGACGCTTCCGCACAACAACCAGGAGGTGAAGATTGAGGTCAGAAAATTGCTGCGGCGGTGTACCTCAAAAATTTCGCCAGGCGAAATGTGGAATGCGAGAATCCGAATTCGAAATCAAACGTCGGTAAGGAGTTCAAGGACCATCTGTTGCGAACAATCGGTTGTCAAAATTTTGGTTCAAGTGGTACGCATTTTCCCAAGTGCAAGAGCATTTTTCAGTACACCCCCGTACCTCTCGGATTCGGATTTAACGTTGTTGTCTTTTGCCCCTATGGAAATTTGTAAACTTAACGTTGTTGTCTTTTGCCCCTAGGGAAAGAAAATGAAGTCGTTCGACTAATTTTCGTAGATGATGGCGTTGTAATTATCTCTCTGTTTCGATGTGAAAAAAATGAGTGGAATGAGTTCTTTCGTGATAAATGCAAAATATGAATCCCAGATATTTGCTGACTCTAGTCAGATGTTCACAAGCACTGGATTCTCTTTTGGATAGGCCCTAAAAGGAGAAGGAAGGCTGGAATGCCAACAGGCATTTATTATTGAATTGAATTCACCCGACCTGATAGTACCCATTTTTGAAACGTCCAGTGTCAAAGTCACTGAATGGGTAAGTCACCAATATCTAAAACGGATTATGTAATGTACTTTATCTGCTGGATTACGGGTGGGCATTTTACCAGAGGTTTCTATTGTATCAATCTACCCTTGTGTGATTCCTGTTGAAGCATGTACTCGAGGGTGGGTGCAGGGCGGACGATTTCAAGGCAGAAGATCATCAAGATTTTGTGATCCGCTGCCAAGCTTATACTTTTTAAAACCTATTCCCGATACTAAGTAGCAGCAAAAAATTTGTATCCATTTTTCATGATATTATGCATGGATTAGATATATCATGGCAAATTCTTCAGAAAGTAAAAAATATCAATTTCTAGACTAAAAGAACAACAAAAATAAAACCCGAAAAACTCTAAACTGAACTGACGGAACAAAAAATCCAACATAAAATTCGAGTTCGTTAGAAATAGCTCGAAAAGTTGATGAACAAGCTATGAAATGTAAATCGACATGCACATTTACAAAACTATAGGGTGAATGGAAACCCAGCCTTCCTATTCAAATAACAAGGAAGGAAACAGCAAGAAACGGAGCCCGTTCAAGAAATGCATCCTTACGTAGATAGACTATGTCTGTCTGTTGAGAAAAATAAAATTTCGAATACCCGGATTGATCTCATCTCAAGTGTTGCGGCAAAGTTGTACCTCTTCCAGCTTACGATTTCATCCTTCCCTTACAGATAATCTCTCTGATAAATAGGCGAGCATTGCAAAACGCAGTAATTAGTACGTCGTCGATCTTCAAAATATACCATATTAATATAGAAAGTAAAAGCATGAAATTTGAAGTTTGCCTCAAAGCCATGAACTAAGATCCTACTGCAGCTCACAACTAAAAGGCAGGTTTCATATCCATGTAGATAAAGTATATTAATTCATCAGAGAATAAAATCCATAATTTCATCGGCCACAGTTAGACTTCCAATTTGCAAGCCTTAGAAAATAAAATTAATTGGGAGGCTAACTTACTTATCAATTCGTAAGTAACGATCATTGTAGTTCCATAGAGTGACATATTTAAGAACCTTGGACCAAAACCTCTATAAAATCCCCGCCATCCATCCTCTTTAAGGAGTGTCTTTGACGTTTTCAGTACTGATGGTCTCCCAGCACCATAGTTATCCATGACCTTCAAGTACCATATTGAAGAATTAGCCAAAGGGCTTATTTATTATTTAAGACTCTAGAAATTATAGAGGAAAAAAACGGCTGTATATGCTAAATTACCTGAAGTCGTGTCTTGACTGTGTCAATAGGAGTAGTGATAATAGAGGAACAAGCACCAGCCATCATGCCGGCTGAAGCCTGAACTGTCACCATCTCCATATGAGACGGTTTCTTCTCTGCATCGTCTCTATAGCCCAAACTCCTATAACAATACAAAGGAGGTATAACAATTACACAACATATTCGGCTGAAGTTAAGGAACTGCAACAGAACAAACTGTCCGCCAGGAAATTATATACACCTCCAGATCATGTGCTGTGCAGAACCATAGGCACCCCACCAAAGTGCATTTGCTGGTGACTGGGTCAGAGCTGTTAATCCGAAGCCTCTGTACAATCCACGAAGACCTTCAGCCTTTTTCACATTCTGTATAACATCAAATGGTTTGTTGCAGGATGTAGTCCCAGGAAGTCCTTGCACCATTAGTCTTTGGCATATCTGAGAATGCACAATTGTAGTGACAAGGACATAAACAGGTACATTCAATGCATGATATCAAAAGACAGAACTGAATACCACGCATCAATCACACTTTCTACTCTTATCCTACACACACAACTACCAAAAAGGTCTCATGTTTCCATTAGAGTCTTTTGAGCCATTTAAACCGTGAGGAAACAATAGCAAAATACTGCATCGCGGAAGTGGTGTATATGGCAAGCCTACTTTCATAGGGAATGACTCCCACCAAATAATTATAAACCAAAAGAAAGGGGAACGACGGTTTTTGATTTTGGGGATCTGTATATTCATCTCTTAAAAGGAAATTAGAGTTGGAGATAAGAATAAAACAGTTTCAAGAAAACATATGCAGAATATTAGTTCGTTAGCCAAAAACAGTAAAAGGTATACAAGCATGACCTGCATACAAGCAATTCATCTACTCTTTCTTATGTATTCCGATCCAGTATTCATTTTCTTGCTCATAAACCGAAATACAATATATTAGGAAATGAGAAAGAACTGGTTGACCTACCACATCCAAAGGCACATAGTACACACAAGAAACTAAATTTGAGGACATTCCCGCCACACCATTAGCAATGCCAACACGTGTAGCCTCAGGCATGTCTAGACCATCAGTGTATTTCAACATCATATCCTTTGATACTTCAAGTGATGTCAAAGCCAAGACCCTACCGGGCAACGATCCAATGGCAGATGTGCCAAAACCTCTAAATATGCCGGGGATGCCATCACATTTTAATATATGTCTAAATACTGATATTCCACTCATGTGAGAGAGTCCAGAACCAGCTACTTGCATTCTAGTCTTTACAACTGCTGTTGGATGTAGCAAGGCCGACTGAGCTGTGAAGAGAATAGCCCCGATAATGTGAAACCTTGTCTTGTCCAACCTGATCGAGGTGAATAAAGTTAAAAAGACATTTAGTTCTAGTCCATCATAAGCACATCAGCAACTTCCCTTAAATTAAGGCGAGATAAAAGGCAGAACCTCATGTCTTCATTGGCATAAATAAAAAGAATTAGAAAATGGTTGTGGTTGTGGTTGTGTTCTGTTTTCTTTTTCCAAGAAGAAAAAGAGGTTTTGAGATAAAAATACTTCTTGCGAAATGCATCGAAGACTTATTTTACCGTTGAGACTGCTTAGGCAAGTTGTACATGAGAGGTAGGCCGCCACAAGAGCTCTAAATCCAGCCAACTTGAGAATTTATAGTTCTACACTGACATTAAACTAACATAAACATGAGTAATCACTCTAGCCCAAAACTAATCAGGACTAAACACAGACAGTCAAGCATAATTTCATCTGAAAAATTGGTTAATATGCTAAAACTGGTGCATTACACAAGAACATTGCACGTATAGACCCACTAAAAAAAGACCATGCATACGAGTATGGCCAGTTAAGCAGAGCAGAGTGCCACCCTTGAACCCCGTTCGCAGCCCTATACACTAGAGTAGTTTAGAATATCGCCATGTGAAAAACCGATGAACAGTCGTTCCTCTATTCCCTCAAGAATCCAACAATCCAAGGGCAACAAACATAGTTGCCCAAATTGGCCTAACACAATCATAATAATTTGAAGTATACACATACGTATCCATATTGGCTATAGCGGATGTGCTCCCCTATACACCTAAGTTCAAGTTCCCTAGCAAGTTCACAGCTAAACTTAATTCTAAATTCCCTAGCAACAATTTAGATTAGTTTAAAGTAGAATATCGCTTGCATAAAAAAACAGAGTAGAGGAAATGAGATGGGAAGGAAAATAAAAAAAATGGGAGAAGGAGAAAGGAACCTGTCCCAGTTGATGTCAGTATCAGAAAGGGCCAGCTCCGGCACCGTCACAGGCTCCGTCTCCACCGCCATGTTTTCCCGTCTCCGAAGCTTTTCCGTTTCTATTTTCTTCCCCCACACTGTTTTTCCAGCTTTCAAATAGTGAATGTTTGTTTTTAGTGACAAATTCTGACTGCTGCAATTTGTGGTTCTAGAAACGGGGATTCGCAGCTGAGGTTTTGTAAGGTACACGGCTGCCTGATGCTCCTCCTTCTGGGTTCCTACGGCGAGGCGGCAACCGCGTACTTAGCGCACTCCAAAAGAGACTAGAGAATTCTATTTAAAATTGATGATCCTTCTCCAGAATCCATTTTCTATTGAGCGATGGGCTTCGTTTCAGCGCACACTTGGATTGTAGGTCTCCTCAATTTCAAAGCCCACGTTAGCAGTACATTTTGTTTTTGGGGTGTGCAATCCACACACATTTTTTTACCTCTCACACACCCCTTGTTAATTTCTCGTCGTTGATATTCTTCAATTTATCTGATCTGACGGCCGAAAATTTGAAAGGGTGTGTGAGAAGTAAACAGGGGTGTGTAAATATCACATCCCTTTGTTTTTAACTTTTATGGCATGTTACGTAATCATAATCGAAATGAAAAATGTAGAGAATTAGACTCGCGCGAATTTTGGAATCCAACTCCAAAATTTGAAGAAATTAGACTCCCGGCATTAGATAGTATTTCAATTGCAGGTCGTTGGGAAAATCCAAAATGGATCATATTGAAAAGGGCCAATAATTTAATTGATGTTATGTCAGTGTCAAAGGTTTGCTCTTTCATGGTCCTTGGGTGTTAATGAAGACTGTCGAATTTAATCTAAATGATCTGGAGGCTCACACCAGTTAGATCCGAAGTGGATCTCTGTCATTGATGAACTATTTCTATGCATGTATTCCAAAGAGCATGTTTTTTTGAATCTGGATCCTTTCCGAATCTTCTTTGTGACGATCCCATGGATCCGAGAATCGTATATATTCTTCGTACATCGTGCAGTTGGAAATCATTTTAAATTTTTTTATTTAAAATTGAACACAAACAGGAGGATGTACGATGAACGAATACAATTCACGGGTTCCCAAGATCCTCACACAGAGGATTCAGAGAGGATCCTGTTCGTGCGTTTTTAGATGGTGGTTTTAATGCCTGTAGGGACCTCCGGTGGGAACTTGTAATAATAACTCATCATCATCATGGAAGTGTAAAAGGGTGAAAAGGACAAGATCCTTAAGCCATCTCCAACCGAGGGCTGGCCAGAGCGCTCGTTTTAGCCCTCTGGCCCTCCAAGATATTAATATTTTAATGAACAGTACATGGTCATATTTGCTTCTGTCTCCAACCGAAGGCCAAAGGGTTAGAGGGCTCGTTTTAACCCTGTCACAAAAAAACCGTCTCTAACTGAGGGCCATAGGGCCAAACATAATTTATTATTTAAATTTAAAAACTACAACAACTTAAATTTAAAACAACAACTTATATTTAAAAACTACAACTTATATTTAAAAACTACAACTAAAATTTAAAAACGACAAATTAAATTTAAAAACTACAAATTAAATTTGAAAACAATATTAACTTAAATTTAAAAACTACAGCAACTTAAATTTAATATCCATAATCAACATCATCTTCATCATTCGCCATCGTAGGAGTATAGTTAGAGGTAAACAACTACCGTCGGCTCAAATTTCTTTTTTTTTCCTATCAAAATAGGCCTTACTCATTGGAGTGTAATTCGAAGTGTTCCCTTTCCATATTCTTATCATTCATCTCTTCTTGTATTTGTTTAGTCCGTTCTTCATGCCTACACTTCCTTTCTTCCGCCTTAAGAGCATTTTGCTCCGCCAATAATCGCAATGAGGCCGCCACTTCATGTTGAGCGGCGTAATCATCATTTGCCTTACCCTTTTCCTTCAACCTTCACGACTTGTTTCGTCCCATAGCCCCAGGTATGGAACCTTCACCCGAAGACGAATTTTCTACCCTTGTTTGTTGAATGGTTGGAGATCCATCTTCATCCATATCTGCAGCTGAGGATGCAATTCCGAACACCGGCGTAGGAGCTCTCTGTGGTGGATCTTCAAATAACACCCACCCTTTACAAATTTCCCAACAACTGTGAAATTGAAAGGGTTTCGAGCTGCTCTCCATATACAATTCCTCCACTTGGCGTACCTAGAAAAAAATTAAAGGAAATTAATTTATGAAATTAAATGTAATATAATTAAATATTTAAAATAAATTGTGAAAACACTTACTTCGTCGTACTAATTAGCGCCGCTTTCATGTCTTCTTGCGACTGCTAACAATGCTTGATGCCATTTGTTCAAACTTGGATGAAGATGTTTCTTCCATCTTGAAGAACAACTCTTGTGGTTTTGAATATTCATTGGAGTGGTGCCTTCATAGAACTCTAAGTATTTTTTGGACACAAGAGTCCAAACACCGTCATTTGTTTGACAATTCCCCCTCACACCATCTTCCGACACTCATCTATAAGCATTGCAAAGAGCTTCATCTTCTTTTCAAGTCCAAGCCCTACCTTTCATTGCAGACGAGGCCATCTGAAAATTATTGAAAAAATTGAAAGATTGATTTTTGAAAGAGGAAGGAAAATATGAGAATTGAAATGGTGTAGGAATGGTGAAAATTTTGTGAGGAATGGTGAATGAATGGTTTAGGTATTTATAGGAAAAAAAATATAATTTTTGAGAATTTAAAAAAAAAAATTTTTGAATCCAACGGTAACTAGCGCCAGCTAGCAACGGCTAACTGACGTCAGCTAGCCGTTGGATTCAAATTCTTTATAAGAATTCCTGTCGATTATAACCGACAGGAATACATTTATTGTATTTAATGTAAATGTATTTGTAACAACCCGTCCCGGGATTTATGGAATGAAAAGGGTATTTTGTATTTTCACTAGGTTTGGGGATATTTTCCTTTTAAAAATTGTTTTTGGGTCTTAATTGGTGAGCCCAAGGGGCCCACCCGTGAACTTTGTCCCCCAGCTCCTCTATTCTTTTGCTGCCACGTGGCTATTAGCATAGGGACGAGGAGCCGGCATGGGGCCTGGGGGTTATCGGACATTCACTAGTGATTATTATTTGCACAGCATACTAGGTTTCGGAAAACCTATGTTTATCATTTTATATGTGTTTTCATAAAACCTGGGGGTTAGTACGTTGATACTTGTTTTACAATATATATATCAACTTGGTCCACTCATGTTTGTTTTGCGCCCCCTTCAGGACTTAGAATTGAGGCATACAAACCCGACATCAAGGCACTTCCGCATTGGCATCTTCAAGTCCTCTCGGTGTAGGACCCCTTCTTTTATTCTTTGAATTTTATATTATTTCTTTTCGTGTTCTAGTTAGTTGTATGCTCTGAACACGTTCTGTAAATGCATATTCATTATTCTTTTATATTTTTTAGTCTTATATATCCCTTGTTTTCAGCTTTTGCACTCAATAAATGACTTTTGTCACCCTCAGATATAGGCCAGTACGTGCCTATCCTGGTATTCGAGGAATATTGGGATCGAGGCGTTCAGTATTACTGTTGGTTATAACCGATAAGATTAATCAATTTTCTGGCCAGTCTTTTCAGATTTCATGGGGCCCTTTCAGATTCCACGACCCCTCTGGCCTAACCCTCGGTTGGAGACAATTTTCGGGCTATTTTCGGCCCTCTGGCCCTATAGACCCTTCGGTTAGAGATGGCCATGAAAAGGGTTAAAGGTCCAAAAGCAAAAAAATGGTTTGATTTGTCCAAAAACTCATTTCCAATCGATGGTTAGGCTATAATTCTGTGAAAGCCACCATGCCATTATTTGGCCAAAGGTGTCACAGCCCGTCCCGAATTATTTTTATCGATGACATGAAATGACTAAATTGCCCTTGAGCGTGTTGATGGTGGTCTGTGTTATTGGGCTAAGGATTTGGACCAATTAAAATCTTTCCTAAGTGTTTGGACCCATTTAGGACTTAAGCTTTTGTTTGTTTTGGTTGGTAGCCCAAACTAGGACCACACACACACCCAAACAACCCCGTTGACCATTCTCTCTCTCTCATTCTCTAGGATTTTTCTGAAAGTCCGTACAACTGTACGGACAAACCTCAAACCAGACCATTTCTTTATGGATCGATGTTGAGGAGCCTGCTTTTGTGTTTCTTGTGAGCTTAGGAACCCATCCATACATTTCATTGGACGTGAAGCCTTCATTTTCCTGAGACACCAAGAACCCCGATTTTGAGCACTATTTATGTGATCGTAATTGTGGACTTTTCAAGGAGTTTTGAGGTCCTAAGAAGCTTTAGAACATCTTCACGAAGCTCGGGGAAGAAAGTTGGAGTGTTTTGGACGTCGGGAAGCTTAGTTTGACGAGTTTCAAATTTTGGCCGGATTATCGAGGTTTCTCCAGCGAGATCCCGTGGATTTCAAGGCTTGAGAGGGTAAGAATGTGTTCTACTCACTCTGAGCTTCATTTTGAGACAAATTTCATGGATTTTGGTGAAAAAAATGAGTGAGAAATGAAGGTTTGAATATTTTCCAGAAACTGGCGATCGCAACGGCACCGGTGAACCAAGGAAGACGAAGAAGAATATTCCATCAAGTCTGACGGAATATTCTAACGGCGTCAGGTAACACCATTAACTTTTATTAAGGTTTTAACGGAATATTCCTAACGGCCGTTAGGCTCAGTTAGGGTTTGGCCGCGCGTGGGAGCGCGTCTAGCCGTGCCTTGGCCGACACGTGGTGGTGTGTGGGACGTCCAAAATTTATTTTAAAAATATGGGGATGTTCATGAGGTTGAGTAGATCACGTTGGTATATTCAAACACCCCATTTGAGCACTGTATGGGAAGTTATTTCCTAATTTTGTGTATGTACTTTAAATAACGTTTATATAGTTGTTTCGCATATAGGTGAGACCTATCATGAGGACGAGCGCAGTCAAGCAAGGTTTGGGGGTTACGACCCTTCCACATATCAGTGAGTGGGCTTTTGGTTTTCAGTATATACTTATATACTTGGCCTTTTTCCCAGAAAATGCTTTTAAAATAAATTATATTTTGAAATGCCATGCATATTGAGTTATATTTAAAGTATGAATTACTATAGTATGCATAATGTGATTTGACGATATGGACGCTCAGGTAAGTACCAGGTAAGTTGTAGATTGTTTATATATGAATTGATGATTATGTGAGATGTGTTGAGAATTTATAAACCTGCACCCCGGTGTTAGTGCTCCTGCCCGTGGCCAGGGCAGAGACCTTCAC